ACTCATATCAATTTTCAATATTTGCATAGAAAGTCATAATCTGCATATCCAGTTCTTCATTCGGAATAATACGTGTAGGAACACAGTTTATGGGCAAGCACAAGTGCTACAGAACTTGATATTTACTTCATTGTACAAAGAGAAATCCCACTGACAGCAAATTTGCCTCGACTAATTTCACGAAAGCCATCGTGTTATGTCTCACTGCAGTAATTGGACGACCGTTAAGGTAAATCGATATCTCTGTGCTCGGAGTGTGGGTGATTTACATGAAATCAAGGTAATCAAAGGTATTGTCGATCGCATCCCATTTACTTGCGCAGCTGTTCGTGAGGATAAAACCTTCCTCAAGGCAATATTGTGTTTGTAACAGGTCCACAACCATACGAACCCATTATCATCTAAGGTATTATTACACCTGACTAGTCACAAATGTTATTTTCCAACTCATTCTATCCCACTGTTAACATGATATCGTTACTTTCAGTTCCTGTTACTATAGTGTTATAGTTGCTTTTATCGTTAGTTTCAAATTAACGAATAAGAAATTGCATCAATATCTTTATTAAGTATAATCAATAAGCTAGGATATACATTCTATTTCAGTATTTGTCTTAACTTTTTACTCTTACGCACTTAAATTGTTAACCCCTTTTAGGCCAAAATAGAATTTTTATAAAACATACTAAGATTTTTTTTTACATCTGCCTAAATTACATTCATTAACTGTTTGACACACATCTAATTTATTAATCACATTTTTCATACCTTTTTTAAATTATCTTGAATTAATTTAGGTCAAAGAAAGCACTTAGTATTTTAAGTATTTTAAAAATTCACGGTTATGGAAAATAGCATGAAACACGGGTGTCTTTTTCTGCGTTCAATATAGAATCTTACAAACACGGCTAACTTCAAAACAATAATTTTTTTAATTTGCACTTATTTCTGCTATTTAGACCTAAGAGAATTTTTTTTATTTACAAAATAATAATGAATGAGAATGAAATAGAAACTAAGCTATTTTTTTAAATTTTATATATTATATTACAAATACAACTTAGGTAATCTAAAAGATTTTTTAATATCTAAGGAATAAAAAGCTGCGCATATGCACCATTGGCGCAATGAGAGGACAAATCATTTAGTTTAGTTTGCAATACAACGTGATTGTTTACAGATATTGCCCTTTTATTTCCACTGTTAATATTTGTTTTTATGTATTAGAAAAAGTGTAAGCTACTATAGAATTTAATGGATTTATTTTAGTAATTAATAAGCATTCGACTTTAGTGTCTAATAATATTTTTAATATATAATAATAATGTTATGCCGCTTAAAATAAGTTAAGATTGAAATAAGAGCAAGAGGATTTAGTTATGGATTCGTATAATTAACTTTATCAAATATTCTTTATAAATTAATCAGCAAATTTCTTCATTTTATATATAAATATATTTTAACAGATGTTAGATTCTAGATAGATTCTTTTCTATATATTGATAGATTTAAAAATTTAAAAAAGGGACAGTTCGCGAACTCTTTATAATTTTTTTTTTATCATTTATATTAAGATTTTTGTTGTTTGAACACCTTTTGCATTGCAAAATAACGTGTCCAATATAAGTTTTTTCCTACATGGAATAATTTTCATTATTTAAGCAAAAGTAAAAGCTATGCATGTTAAAAATTCCATATGGCGTGAATGAAATAGGTGATAAAAATTGAAATAAAAACACCAGTTCTCAAGAACAAAACCTCAAATTTTTTTAGAAATATCATATTTCGTAGACAAATAAAAACTGTTCTCCAAAACATTAAGACACCCAATAAAGAGCTTGAAACTATAAATTTAAATGCAAGGAATGAAAAATGACAACTTAAAAGACAAGAGAACATGGAACTGCACTTTTCATAATCGTTAAACCTTTGATACTAATTATATTAGAATATCTTATAGATTCCGGTATAATAAAAAATAAAAGTAGATTGCAGATTACCTTAAGATATTTTAATATTTTGTTTCATTTAATAATACCAATTGACCATGATCATTTTAAAAGTTGAAGTGAATTTAAAAAAAAAAAGAGTTTCAAGAAAACTCTTACAGTTGTTGAAAAATTTTACAGATGAGTTTTAAACTGAGCACATGGCAATCAGAAAATGAAAATATTTAAGACATTTATACATTACTGCATAGTTTTGTTTTTTCACATTGATGAACATTGTGAAAAATATCGGAAGGTGTCCTTAAATTTATAAATTTCCTAACGCAAGAACTAAATCACAATTTGCTACCCAACACAAGAAAACAATTATCTGATTAAAGAAATCTTTAAATACATCAGTCTTAATGAATATAGGTTTTAAGGGAAGCTAAAAAATAATAAATCAATAAAAATTTTAAGATTGATGTGTACAAAAGCATATTAGAATCTAGGCAAAGGCATTTCAGATGAGCAGCAGCAAAACAAAATCTACGAATAAAGTAGATATCAACTTTGTTTCAAATTAAAATCCATGCCAATAAATGTGTTTATCTGCTAGATTAAAAACCATATTTCACCTAAAAAATACAGTATATTATTGTGAAATCGAACTTCTCCTTATTTCGCTGCATACAAATTTTGCTTTTTTACGAAAAAAAATGCTTGAATCCCAGCGGTGTTTGATCGATACAAATCCCGTTTCCAGCTTGCACCAACCACATTGCTGACTTGAAATATTCTCAGTGGTTGACGGATCACGGATTAGAGTACCCTTTTCGTCAGGCAAACCGTAAGAGGTTCTCATGGTCTTCCTCTGTAACGAAAATTTGGGTTAGTTACATTAAAAGTCCTCCACCAAGGCAAATTTCACCTAATAATTGATCTAGGTGCTCCCTTATCTTCTGGATTGGGTTCAAAATTACAAGGCTATGGAGTTGAATGTAGTCGTAAACCCAAAAACTGCTTTCCAAAAATTGGTCGTAAACCCAAAAATTGTTCAATGACGGCTATGATATGAAATAAAACCTACCTTTAAGAGCCTTGGTGGCTCAGGAGCCATCACCTTTCACTGAACCGGATTTGAAAATATGCGATGGTTGGATACCAGCGATGGTTGGTCATTATGAAATCCACGTCCGACTCGCATTGACCACAGTGCTGACGTAGAATATCCTCGGTGGTAGAAAATCATGGATTAAAGTCCCCTTGTCGTCAGGCTAACCATGTGAGTTTTTCGCGGCTTCCTCTATATGTAACGCAGATGTGGGTTAGCTCCATCAAAAAGTCCTTCACAAAGGCAGCTTTCTCCTAATACTTATCATCTAGGAGCTCGCTATTCCTCTGGGTTGATTTCAAAGTTGCAACTCAATGGAGTTGAATATTAGCAGTAGTTAATCCAAAATTGGGTCGGCTGTTCATTGACGGTTATAAATCTACCTTTCAATAAAAAACCCATTCTAGATTTAATTACTTTCCTTAGAGCCACTAGTAACGTAATTCAGTTAATCATAAATTGACAGCGTAACAAGATATATACACACTTTCAGGAAACACGGTTTAACATTAGACAATACTGCCCTGCAAATTTGTTAATTAGGATGTCAAATTGAATATGTTTTCGTTCATTTTAAACCATATTACCAAGTAAGCAATAACCGACAACTTTACAGAATACGTTATTTAGCTTTGTTTTACTACGATAGCATGATTTTACTTTATTTATTTAATTTATTGAAAATTTAAACGATAATTCGAGTCAAGAAGATTCAACATTTCTAACAATGTACTACATATTTTTAGACTGCCGAAAAATTCACACTTTTCGAAACATTTGAGTTCTTTAGGCAAATATAATTCCTCGATTTGCTGCAAAAAACATTTTTTATAATAAATAGATTTTACCTTACATTAAACGTTACACTAAGCTAATTTCAACTACTTGGTGACACTGTGGTTTGTAAGGAGAATTGTCACGCATGCGCTGTGAAGCTCAAATGGCGTTAAACATGGAGTTAGGAGAATTCATAACAGCTGGCGAAATTCTTAACAATCATAAAATATGACAATTACCGAGAATCATCACTTTTTCTTAAGAAATAGAAATGTAAGTCAAAAGAACAATAAAAATATATTTTTTCAATTCTAGAAGCAAAGTACCACGTCCAAAATGGATTGTGATGTAACTAAATATTTAACACTTTTGAGGATTACTTATTTCCTTTTTGATTTTCTCCCGGAATTTTTAATTAAATAATGAAACAATTAAATTACAATTGAATAACAATTAAATAAGAATTAAATGATGAATTTTCTGAAAATACATTTTATTTTACCGAATCATGGAGCCATGCAAGTGTCACAACTAAGCAGGTGTCATAACAGGACGAATCTCAATAAGGCTTTCAAACTATAAAAGAAACAAATGTGCAAATTAGATTCAATCTATTGAACAGCATATGGTAGCACAAAGCTGAAACGATAATAAGTGATCCTATTCGTTATAATAGCATGACCCATACATATTATAATGGCTTATACGCTTCCCACAGGTGTATTTATTAAGATCAAGTTTGTGGGAAGTTATCTTCCCAAAGCCGATGAAAAGGTTGAAAGAGACATGTAGAAACTTATTTGTATTTCTTTTTAAATAAAAATGCTTTTTCTGTTTTGTTAGTATATTTTCAAATCTTTAATTTTTTTTTCTTTGTTATTTCTATTTTGAGATGGAAAGCAGAAACGATAATACGTGTTCCCATTCATTATAATAGCAGAATGGTAAAAAAAGGAAAATGGGTTTTGAGCTTCCCACAGGTGTATTTAGTAAGATCATATAGGTGGGAAGTAATTTCCCCGAAGCCCGTGAAATAGTTATTAAGTATACGCAATAACAGGATTATATGCGAGTGTCAAGCTACATAAGAAGTTGTTTTGTATTTGTTTTTAAATAAAAATGCTAAATTTATTTCGTTAGCATGTTTTTAATATTTTAGTGTATTTATTTATTATTTGTAGGTATCTTGGGTGAGACAGAGGGACCTACATATATTAACTGTTGGAAAGTATACTTATACTACTGACCAAAGATATACTTCTATTCATATGGATGATACCGATGATTGGACATTGGAAATCAAATATACGCAAAAGCTGGATGCTGGTATATACGAGTGCCAAGTTAGTACTGAACCAAAAATGAGTTTACCCATACAGCTAAATGTCGTCAGTAAGTAGTATTAAATATTTTTTTATTAAATATCATAGCACAAAATATTAGTTAAAAATATATTCGATTAAATGACCATAATTAAATTGGAAATTAGGCTAGTAGATTAAAATATCAATGGAAACTGAATTCAAATATTTCAATGGAAACTGAATTCAAATATTTCAATGGAATTTAATATAAAATCAGATCTTCTAGATCTTCTTAAAAATTAAATTATAACAACAAATAATTTCATCAACAAATAATTTCATCATATATACTGATATGATAGTAAATGTTAGCCTATAAACAAATCTAAGAGCCAAAAAAATAATCACATAAGATAAAATAACAAATCAAGTAGCAAATTAAATTCGTAACGTTGAGAAGAATTTATAAAAGAAATATTAATTTTCTTGAAAGTAAGAATATAAAATTTTTAAATTTAGAACTACGTTGCTCTAAAATAAAAAATTACGATAGTTTAAACAATATAACTAATTTAATTATTATGGATTTACGGTTAAAATGATCTCATTTTATTTTGATTATTTAATATCTATCAAAGATCAAGGGGAAAGTAACATAATTAGCATTCATATAATGTATTAAAACAAAGTTAATCTTCCAAATACCCATAATATAATTTTTTGGATTTCTTAGTTATATTTTGAAACACTATGAATGGATTAAATACGACAGAACATATTAGAAATTCATTTGACGTATGTCAATTGGTAGTAGTAAAGACATATGTCAAATAAACATAATTCTTTTGTGTTTTAAAACTTTTTTATGAATTTGTTACAAATTAGGAACTATAGACATATAAAGTGTAAATAAGGTTGTTAATTTGTAATCTAATATTTCTTTATGGATAGATAATATAAAGCAGAGCAAAAAAAAAATTATTGTTAGGCTGAGATTTTTTAAGCAAAGTTATTATAGTAAATAGAGTTAAACTTTGCCAAATATGCAAAGCTACAAATCACTTTTAAGGGACAAATACCGTTATGATTGAATTATATATACATCTTTATATTATGTACTTGTTTAGAAAACGCAAAATGCTGATGATTTAAAGCAAACAGCATTAAAATTCGTTGTTCTACATAAAAACAAACATAAATTGTTGCTTTTAAATACTGATAATGAGAAGTCTGTTCGATGCGTATATTGCTTAGGTTAGCTCAAACTGCCGTTAATTGAGTATAATGCTTCTAATATAACGAGGAGTACACATTATGCCATTAGCAGGATGTAACAAGAAATCTCAGCTTAAGATAAGGTCTTTACCTGAAGCTATGTTTATGTAATCTGGAAGCATCAGTTTATATAATAAAATGCTAGTTAGCAAATAATTTATAAACTTAAAGAATTCAAAAACTATTCTACTCATTTATCAGTTTTTGAATGTAAATAATACTATTATTTGGTGTGTTTAGTAAAAGGATTAGGACTTTCCCAAAAATTGCTATTAAATCGAGAAAGTATCATTTTAATTTATTTGAGTGCGAGATTCAATTTAAAGGGATTTATCATAAAAGTAGGAATTTTTTATTCAGTTAATATTTTATCAGCTCATATGGTCTTTTGTTATTTTTTTACAATGCATAAAATAAGGAAAAATTTAATAGATGTATAAAATTTAAAAGAAAAAAAATTATGAAAGCAGTTTAAATGAAATCAGCTACCGATTTAGTGAATTATTACTTTCTAAGATTAACCTAAAAACACTAATTAATTAAAGAAAAATACGATATTTTTTTTACGAAGCAAGAAACAAAACTTTTTTTTCAATTTCTGAGTAAATGCACGGTATAAAAGAGTTTCTCAATATATGAATCAAAACATTAAATAGTAGGAAACTTACATTTTATGATGTTATTTGCATTTGGATATAATTTTTTTTGTGAAAAATCCGCAAATCTCAATTTTTAACAAACAGTTATTTTTATAAGATATTTAATTTAATGTTCCAGCAAACATAAAATTTATAGACCGCAATATATATTTAATTTCATTTTTTTATTTTAATCTAGTATTATAATACTTAATTAAATATTAAATTTTCAAATATCTTCTGAAGGACGTCTTTGGATTTGTGTTTTCATTTTCAGAAAATTTTGAACAATATTTAATTTTATACAAATGATAGATTAATTTAAAAATAAATATATTTCTATATTTATCAATCCTAAAACCAATGAAAAATGTAAAAAAAATTTATTTCTCTCTAAAAGTGACTGATAATAAGAATTTATTTGCAGCAAAAATTTAGTAATCTAAATACTCTGGTTAAACATTTAAAAAATAATAGATTTAACTTTTGCCCCAGATAAAAGTTACAAAATATGAATTTCATTACGGCAGAGGTCATTGTAACAAGAAATACAATTAAATTCAGATTAATTTTTCGTTGCCAAGCGTTGAAGTTTGATCTAATCTTTCAAAATAATGCGCAATTACTTTTTCCATATAAGTAATAAACATTAAAATTTTTGTGTACTTAAAATTACAAACCATTTTGACTGTAACTTTTAAACCATTTATTGTATGTTTAGTAAACTATTTTTGTATGTAAACAAAAATAACAAGAAATATATATTTCGAAAAAGAAGTCTGCTTAAAGTGGAGGAAGAAGGTAAAAATATATTATACGAGTTTTTTGTATCTTCATGTGCATTACGCTTTTTATACATTGAAACTGTCATTTTTCATTGTACAAAAATAGTAAATAACAAGTATATTTCATTTCGTAAAATCTGCTTTTTCTGCCGTAAATGTTTATTGGTAGTTTGAAGGTTTCATTAATGCGAATCAATGCTTTGATTTAAAAAAAAAAACGATAATAATGAAAATTAGTTCCATTTAATCGACGGAAAATGAACTGTCCTTACATCTAAAAGTGAATATGGTTTGATAGATGAAGAGTTTACTTAATAAATCTAAATAAAATAATAAATGAGATAATTCCTTAAAATCTAAGTAAATAAATTGAATAATTACTTAAAGTACATATAAAATGAAGAATTTAGTTTTTTGACTCAAACCCAAAATAAAGAAATTAACCGAAATAAGCCCAAAGAAATTGTATGGAAAGTGAAGAAGATCAAAAAAAATTAAAATAGCAAGGGCCGATTTCGAACCTAAAAAATTATTTAGCTGATACTATGTCCCAGTTAAAAATAAAATGTATTTGGGCTATTTTCAATTAAGGATATATATATATATATATATATATATTTTGGTTTTAGTTCGTTATCACTAGAAAAATGGAATTGTTCCGCAAAAATCTTTTCCACCAATTTAACCGTTTGTCTTGGCAATTACTGTAAATATCTCTGTTCAAGTTTGTATTTTCTCTAATCATGGTAATATTATTGTAAGGCTACCACAACGACTGCTTATATTCAAAATGTTTTTAACTCATTTTTGTAATTTCATGATGAACGGGATAAGGCAGCTGCGCGGCCCAGGTGCCCAGTTGTTTTTAAATAAAGAAGAATAAAGAACCGATTGTCTCTCTGACATTTGATATATCTCTTTAAATTATTTATGTGTAGTGGTTGACAAAATTCTTTGAGTTTGATTTTATTAAAATGTCAATACACTACCTTTGCTGTTGCCAGAGATGCCAACTTGCTCCGGACAGCAAATATATATTTTAAAGTGGTAGTTTATCAATTGTGATTCTTGGTTTAATAAATTCAATTTAGTAGATTTTTATCCACCACTGTATTTAAATAATGCGTAAGCTTATATATTTCACCACTTCGAAGTACTAGTGTTAAGCTATGTCTCTTAAAAATCAAGCAAACATAGTCAAATATTTGCAAAATTTACTTCGTAGTTACTTACCGTTTTTTTAGTTATTTCGGCCTGTCCTGAGCAGTTGGCATCGCTGTGTTACTAGTAAACATATTTCCTGAAACTACGGAAATTTCGTTGTAGTTGGTAGTAAGCATTACTACGAAATATGAGTTTAACAGTTAAAAGGTTAAGCACTGAAATGGTGTGATTATAAGCAAGGGTGAAAGCGAGACGGAAAAAGAAAAGACTGGTAGCAAAATCATTTCAGTTATAGCTAGTTTTCGAGAGGAGTTTATTTATTCTTTTTTCGTTTTTCAAACTCTTCAACAATATCTACTTTATCTTGAAAACGAAACAGTTTTATATGTATGCTAAAATTATAAAATAAATCTTGATAGTTACCGACATTTTATTTTTCTCGGAAAAAATTCTAGAATGAAACGTCTTTCGTACCAGTTTTTGCTTTTTTCCGTCTTGCTTTCAGCCACGATTATAAGGGTAGCTTTAAAAATAAGGAACATTATGGACTAATACTATTTTTATAATTGTATTCATGTTTTTATTGCATAAAAAATCGGGTGTTAATGGGCTAAATTGCTGCTAAAAGTAATTAGAGNTATATATATATATATGTACACAAAGGCTCATGTTAAAGAAGATTTGAATTAAACTCAAATAACTGAAATGCACTTGACTTGGGAACCAAATGGGGAGCAGTAAATGAATATACAGTTTCCAACTTGACTAAAGCTTGCTCATACTAGAATGCACTATTAAGAAATTTTGCTCTAAAATGGTTTTGAAACTGTTATATTCAACCATGCAGTTCCATGCATGCATGATATAGTGCAACCATGCATGATATAGTTCTTAAACTGTTAATTACGAGAAAAATCGTCTTTGTACAGTTTTCCTCTAATACGGTTGAGCAACCGAAATATTATCCGCGCCAACTAGGCTAACCTTAAGAAGTCACTTAGTTTGGTGCAGACGGGTACATACTAGAGAAGCGAGGACGAATTTGTCAATCTCATGCCCGGCTGAAAATTCCGGTGTTTACTCAGAAATGTTTCATCCATTATTTTAATTTATGAAAAAATTCCAGTACTCCCCTATTGATGACCCTTGACTAATGGAGTACGAAGCTTTCATTCAAGCCCAAGTAACAGAACTTTCGAGTTCCTATACGCGATAAAATAATAAAGCCGCATTCAACAGTTCATTCTACACGACTCTGTATCCCAA